AAAAAAAAAAAAAAGGAAAAAAAAAAAAAAAAAAAAAAAAAAAGAATATCCTCTTCCTCTTCACTACACCTCTGTCCCAATGCAAATCTATCTTTTAGGTGTTTTGAGTTTACATGTTCACTTCTAGATCCTGATATGTGACTCTGTGTTCCTGGCCAGCTTTGTATATGGTTTGATGATTAATCTTTAATACTGACGAGCTGTAGTGATTGAGGCATGTCCTCTTTCATCCTTTGCTTAATCTGATTCTATATTCTCATGTATAAATTTTACCTTCAACCTGATTTCCTATCAAACATCAATTGTATGACCCTGAGCAAATCAATCAACAGCTCTGAGCCTCAGTTTTATCATCTAACAAATAGCGATAATGATACCAGCTCTGCCTTTCTCTAGCACTCCATGGAAAATAAACAAAAATAAAAAAGCACTGCCATTATCAAAATTGTGCATATACACACACTCTCATGCCAGCTTGTGAAATAGGAGAACCTGATCATTGATTAAACTTGAACTGCATTCCCTAAGAATCTCTGCTTACAGCTTTTGTCTAGCTAAATAGTAAGAGTTACTAGTTAATAAATGTGGAGCCTTATACATTCATTAATCCTTATGACAACCTTGTGATGTAGGTATGATTAGCACCATTTTAAAGATGGAAATACAGAAGCTAAAAAGATTAAGTAGCTTGCCCAAGGTCACATGGTGGGAAAGTAACAAAGTCAGGATTTGAACCTGATTCTGTCTGACTCTAATGTTCTTCTTCATTATTCTACACTATACTGTAAGAAATGTGAAAGCAAGGAACATGACTTACAAAAATCTATCCATGCGTTCACCCGCCTTGCCCACACTTCCTTCCTTCTGTTTGTTCATTTACCCTTCCATTCGCTCTACCATCTGACTGTCCATTCGTCCTTCTCTATCTATCCAGCTCTTCTCTCTTCACTCCCCTCCACCCTCCCTCTCTCCAAGCAGCTGTCCGTCACTTATCCATCCAGCTATCTGTTCTGCCTGTCCACCTCTTTTCCTTTCTTTACCCTTCTATTCAATTTTCTATCCCGTCATCCATCCACTTATGTAGGCAACATTTATTAAGAGGCTGTGAGGTACAAAGCATTTCTTTGAAGCAGTTACAACAATGCCTTACATGTAGCAGTTGTTTAACAAACACTTTTAAAAATCAACCTCAGTAAATAATTACAATCAGAAGAACATTTTCAGGCCTGCATCACTTCTCTCAAGCAAAATCTTCATCATTCAAACTTCTAGGTTAATTCAGGAGATGTACTGATGAGGCAGAACACAGTAATACATTGCTTATGAAGGAGAAATATTTAACTTGCTAACTGAATGACACACTTTTATTTCAATTATTAGCACAATATATGTCCTCTATCAAAAATATAACCATACCTCCTATCTCGATGAAGTTCACTCTGAATAGAAGTCCGAGAAGCTATAGAAAAAAGAATAAGCTGGTATAGTACAAAATTAGTACATTCAATAAAGGTTTAAATTTTCATAGAGTACACAATTGCACAGTTAGCTTATACTTGACATCACATAGAATGTATGAATTTTATCAGCCCTAAGTAGAAAAGTAAGTCAAAATGATCTTTTTATACATATGGTATAAAATTAATTATAGTTATATATTTGAATTACATAAGAAAATGCAGATTTGAAAAACTGCCCAAAGCACATTCTGTGGTTCTGAAAGTAATTTGAGGAATGAACAGAGAAAAGAAGACAGTTATTAAATATAAATTACATGGTAGGAGCATTAAGATGACATGAAATAACAACAGGCAAAAAAAATTTAAAATACCTATTCTAATCCATATGACCATACTTTTGTGATGTTTGTTTATAACTCTACTGTAAAGAGTGAAAGTGATCAAATTTTTATCTATTTTCTAACTTTTCTGGAATTTTACAAACTATAAGTTGTTTTGTTATTTAAGAGATAATTATAATAAATGCAAAAGGTGTTCAAATTACTTTTACAAACATATCTATAGCACATATTATTGTATATGCAGCACTGACTTTTTCCTCAAGTTTCAAACTCAAAAAGCTTGGTAGTTTAAATTTTTTCCAAATTTTATTTTATAAAACAAATCAAGTCTTAATCAGACAATCTGGAAAGTATGTCACATATGTGGTCAATTTTTATGTAAGAGAGAATATTATCTCTATTTTCAAGAAGCATGTTCTTAAAATCCCTTTGGAAAAAAGTCTTCAAATACCTACACAAAGATTTGTGCACAAGGGGAATTTGTTTCATATATAAACTATCTCAACCAGCTGCTTTCATGTCTCTCCAATACTCCATTATTTCAATTCTTCTGATTTGAAAAGATTAGAAGTATCGATCTTTTCTTTCTTCCTCCTATTAACTTCTGCTTCTCTCTGAACAAGGAGGCTGCCAAAGCTGGGGAGGCAGTGGTGGAGGTGGGCGATGGGAATGAAATTTTTAGGCTGTGATTGGAGCTGTGACAGCTGAACCTATGCTCGGTTGGCAAAGCAAACCTCTAACATCTGAAACCAAAACTCCTGTATCTCAACATGGAAGATGGCCTTATATTCATATCATCACCTGGTTTGACTGACATATTTCTATTAAGAGCTAAACCAAGTTGTGGTACATTTGGTCTATTAGAATAAAAGAGGACAGAGAGGCTAGAGCTCTGCATGGTGCACCTGATTGGCAAGAATGGTTTCATTAAGTCAGAGGTTCACCTTAGGCGCTCCAATCACATCACCACAATCACTAAAGCTGGAGTCAGCAGACGCTGCACTTTTAAAAGACTTCATGTTATTGTCACAAACATACCTCTTCCACGGGGCATTTTTGCTGTGCACTATTCATGAGTGCTGAGGGAAAAAAAGAAGGGGTTATAGAAGAGGAAGGGGAGAAAAAAGAGAGAACCCTGTTGCCTATGCTCTAAGAGGAATCTGGGAGTGAGACTGTCTGGCCATGCCACTGTTTTTCCCCATTCTGCACATTTAGAAAATAAAAGTTGATGAACCATCATTTCAGAGAGTAAAGAAATAGGTAGCTGCAAAGATTCGTCTGTATAGACCAGGGCATCTACCCATATAACCGCAGCCAAAAATCTGCCTGAAGTTTTTAACAACAGTACAAAAAAATCTAAAACCATTTTGCAAAATCAATTTGCTACTTTCAAAAGGGATCAATTTTAAAGTATGAATGATACTTAAAAGGTAATCAGCAGTTGATTCATGTTCTTTTAAATCAGTGGCTTTTAACTTGCTTCTGCCCCTTCGCACCAAGGTCGTTAGTAACAGGCACCGGCAGCAGTGCTGGTGCCACTCTGCACGCAGCCGAACAAGCAGAGAGGTCTCGAGGTCCTACTCGCACGTCTCCTTCTCCACGTCCCCTGAGAATCGTTGCTTTTCCCTCGTCTTCTCTCACTGGTTTTCACACTCACACATCTATGAAACTTCTCTTTTCTCCTTTGATTCGTATAGAATGATTGACACTTTTTGTCAGTGCTGAACAAGTTTAATAGCTAAAAACTTTAGATTTTCATGTGCTGTCTCACACTCTTCCTGCTAATTTCTTAACTATCCACTTGTACATCTCATTCTCACTTTCCCAGATTAAACATATTTGATGTAATTGTTGCCAAGAGAATTAAATTTGCCACCAATGCCCATGGAGACCAACATGTCCCGTGTGACCTCTGCCACAAGCTGCTGATCTCTCGAGCATTTGGGGTTAGAGCTACAGAACAAAGGCAGTATTTTCAGTTGAAGTTATCCTATCCTTTTATAGGATTATTTTCAAACTCTTCTAGTTCAAATGGTTAAAAAAATTTTTTTCTTCTAGTGAAGTGAAGCAGTGGAAGTGGAGAAGGAACAAAGAAATCTGTAACTAGTTGTGATCAACTAGTTGTGAACACCACTGCACTCGGACAAACCCAACTGGTTAAATTAAGTATAAGACATATTCGCATTAGGTTGTTTATAGAACTGAGATGTTGATTTGCAACATTACTACCAATAAAGAATCCTCCCAAGTTCCAGGAGGATCATAAGCCTGGAAAGACCCTCAGTGATCACTCTACTCAAACTTCACAAGGGAGGTTCAGCCATAGAGAGGTTAAATGAATCCCAGGACACACAGCCCATTCAGGGCAAAGCTGGGAGCAGTTTGTTTCTTGAAGCAGTTTAGCTCCAAGAGAGCCTGGAGAGCTGGATGCTAGTTCTAAATCTAAATAATTCAAATTATTGATTAAATGGTGATCAGAAGAAATAAACACATAGGAGGATTATTATATTATAAATATCCTTGCTGCTGTGGGTCAAATGTGTCCCGCCAAAGTTCATGCATTGGAAACTTAAAGACCCGCTGTGTTCAGAGGGTGGGAAATCTAATTATGGTATTTGAAATGTGGGGCCTTAAAAGGTGATGGGATTGTGCTTTTGTGAATGGATTAATCCATTCATGGAGTAATGGGCATCGTTCTGAGAGTTTTAAAAGGAGAGCAAGTGAGGAGCTTAGCTCTCTTGCTTAGCCCATTCTCACCATGAGACACCCTGCCTTGCTGTAGAGAGTTCCCACCAAGAACCAGATGTGCCCTTTGGACTCTGGACTTCCCAGCTGCAAACCTATAATAAATTTTGTTTCTTTATAAATTACATAGTTTCAGGTATTCTGTCATAAGCAACAGAAATGGACTAATACACTTTCTATAAAACTACCTTATCAATAAAAATCACAATAATAAAAAACTCACTGACTATATTTGTTTGGGATAGGGTGTGAGCTAGATACATTTCACATAACAAGAACATCCATGGAGTGGAAAGCTCAATGGCCTTGAAGTCAGGAAGCCTAGGTTCACATCCTGGCTCTACCTTGTGAAGCCATTTAACCCTTCTGAGCCTCAGTTTCCCTACTAACATCTAACATGCAGAGTGTTGTTTTGTAATGTATGTGACACAGGTCCTGACTTATGGTAGGTAATCAATATTATCTAAATCTGAATTTCAGAGAATAATTTTATCTTAAAAAGTTAGCAAAAGCCATACCAGTCAGCCACCAGAACAAACAAATGGAAGTTGGTAAAAGAAGAACATGGAATTCTAGATATATCCAATTAGAACACATCAAAAGGTATTACCAAAAATACTTAAGGCTCACACAAATGAATGCAAGAAGAAGGGCCCTAAGGCTTCAGAGGAATCATAATCATTATGAAAAATTTTGAAACACTACCAGTTAAGAAATATTGCTTTAAAAATGTAAATGTGGTATATCTACACAATGGAACACTATTCAGCCATAAAAAAGAATGGAATTCTGCCATTCGCAGCAACATAGATGAGCCTGGAGAAAATTATGTTAAGTGATATAAGCCAGGCACAGAAAGAGAAATACTGCATGTCCTCACTCATATGTGGAAGCTAAAAAAGTTGATTTCATAGCAGTAGAGAGTAGAATAGCAGTTACTAGAGACTAGTAAGGGGAGGCGGGAGGGGGAGATGGGGAGAGCGTGGTCGGTGGATACAAACTTGTAGATAGGAAGAACAACATCTAGCATTCTACAGTAATAGAGGGAGAATTCAGTCAACAACAAATTACTGTGTATCTTCAAATAGCTGGTTGAGAGCATATTGAATGTTTCCAACACAAAGAAGTGACAAATGTTTGAGGTGATGGATATGCTAAATACCCTGATGTGCAGTGCAGTGTATAAATGTACCCAAATATCACATTGTACTCCATACATATATATAATTGTCACGGGTCAATTAAGAAAAAAAAAATTTCAGAGACAGAGTAGATTAGAGGTTACCAGAAAATGGGGGTTAGGGGCCGGCCCGGGGGTGCACTGCTACAGTGCGCCGCTTGGGAGCATGGCGGCGCTCCCGCCGAGGGTTCGGATCCCACATACAGACCAGTTCCCGCTCACTGGCTGAGCGAGGTCCAGCCGCAACACCGAGGGTTGCGATCCCGTTGCCAGTCCCGGTCCGGTACGGGCGCGACGCTGAGGGTTGCGATCCGTTGCCGGACACGAAAAAAGACAAAAAGGAAAAAAAAAAAAGAAAGAAAATGGGGGTTAGGGGTGGGGATAAGAAGTTATTGCTTAATGAGTACGGAGTTTACGTCTGGGATGACAAAAATGTTTTGGAAATAGATAGAGGTAGTGGTTACACAGCATTGTAAATATAATTAATACCACACAATCGTATTTTAAAAAATACTTAAAATGGTAATCTTTATGTTATATATATCATATCACAACATACATACATACATAAATATGTGATGAAGTCTTTCTCCTTACCAGGGGTAGATGACTGAGTCTGGGATAGTAAAGCACACATTTTAATAGGCTGGCTAAGAAAAAAATTGTTTACTACTGTTTTTAATAGACTAGGCAAAAAGGGGGTAAAGGGGGATGGCACAATTATTCCTCTTCCGTATTTACATGGTACCACAAGAGGATCTGTTTGGCTTTCTTGCCTAAACATCAGGAATAAATACAAACAAATATTTCTTTTGTGTTTACAAAGTAACTGACATATAGAATTAAAAGACAACTGGGTTAGTTAAACAAACAAAAAAAACCCCACCAGACACCTCAAAGCAAGGGTTTTCCCTTCGTTTCCTCCTCTCTCTGCTAGGGCCCTGTGTTACCGATTTCCTCCTCTTGCATGCTCCCCTGATGCCAACATGTCTGCA